TTACTGTTAAACCAATTATGAATATTAATATACACCAAACCATGTGTCCTGTATCATAGCTACATGTGTGACGTTTACAGTAAAAGAAAAAAGTGTGAAAATCAGTTAATTATTCAGCGAGTAATAACTGATTAAATAATAATAATAATAATCTTTATTTGTATAGCACTTTTAAAAACAGTGTTTACAAAGCGCTGCACAGTCAGCATGATAAACAATAAAAACAGTCATAATGCAAGGTCAAAATAATTAGATACAGAAACACAAAGCAAACAGAGCAAAACACAAAAGAGACACAACAAAGACAAAGCAGACATTAAAATACAGCATCGGAAGTTTAAAACTAACAGTTAAAAGCTGTTTGATAAAAGTGGTTTTAAGAAGAGATTTAAAAGAGGATACTGTTGGTGCTAGCCTTATCTCCTCGGGCAGGTCGTTCCAAAGCCGAGGAGCCCGGACAGAGAAGGCTCGGTCACCTTTCGTCCGGAGCCTCGACCTTGGAACAGTCAACAGGGACCTGCCCGAGGATCTAAGGCTGCGGGGGGGCTCGTAGGGGGTTAAAAGTTCAGAAATATAGCTTGGTGCCAGACCTAAACGAGCTTTAAAAGTAATCAGTAAAATCTTAAAATCAATTCTAAAACGCACAGGGAGCCAAACAGGGGTGATGTGCTGACACGTCACTGCGCCTTCTAAACAGAAGACACAGAGGAGCGGGCGACTGATCCAAGATGGCGGCCCCACGGCTCGTCAGCGCCAATAGGCAGTAGCGGTAGATGCGTCGTCTACTCTTTATACAGTGCATCCGGAAAGTATTCACAGCGCTTCACTTTTTCCAAAAAATGTTATGTTACAGCCTTATTCCAAAATTGATTCAATTCATTTTTTTCCCTCACAATTCTACACACAACACCCCATAATGACAAACTCTTCCTGAAAATGTGAGACAGGCTTCTACTCAGACAATGTTCAAATCCAGGTTAAAAACAGTTTTGTTAACCGTGCATACAACTGAAGGATTGCAGCTTCACTCTGTGTACTGTGATTAAAATTATGATTTTAATGCCTTGTCTGATTGTATTCCATCTTTTTTTAAACATTTTGAGTTGCCTTGTGTATGGACTGTGCTACACAAATAAACTTTCCTTTGGCTTGCTTAAATCTACAAAAGAACAAATCAGATACAAATCACATTTCTGCTCATGTTAAAAAAGCGTACGGTTCAAACATGGAAGCAAAGTTTTACAGAGGTCAACCGGCTCAGCAAAGAGAAGGCGAACGGGAGCAGACGCTGGAAACATAAATCCATTTTTTTCTCCCCACTAAAAACACATGTCCCCCCACCATCAGCAACTGCTGCCTTAAGGAAAATATGACTAGAGGAAGTGATGTGAGAGTGTCAACAAATGTTCAAAGTAGCAGCTCCACATGTGGACTAAACTTCCAAAAGGCATATGACAAGAACAATACTGACCTCAAACTAAAGTGATGATGTAATGACGAGGAATTACCTAAAACTATGCATAAAGAAAGGTTGGCTCTGTTCACATATCAGTCCTCTTTTTGTGAAAGTGATCCAGGCACATACTTCAGATCTAATCCCCTCAAATCCACACGCTTCCATCAACACAGTGGTATAACTTACTCTCATACCAACGAGATGATTTCAGAACTGTACAGCAGTCAAAAATACAATCAGATAAAGAGCAAAAGTATTTCAGTTTCAAGGTTCAGTCCAGTCTTACTTTCCTCAAAGATCAGGAGGCAGCAGGATACACGAGCATGGATATACAAGAGGGAGGGTGTTGCTGCTTAAACCCGTCTCCATATGGACAAGGGGGACCTGCGGCACTGCAGGTTAAATTAGCTGCAAGGAGATTTTCTACATAGACTTCAATGTTCACTTACGTAAATGGCTCGTTAGGTGACAGGAAAACATATCTTTTTCAAAGGTCTGGTTTTGTGGGGAATTGAGGTCATCCTGAACTAGTTTTTCTTTTGAAATCCGTCGGTTTCCAGTTTAAGTACCTGGGTGTTCAAATTAACAATAAACTGGACTGGTCCCACATCACTAACGCCCTACAAGAAGGGCCAAAGCTGCCTCCACCTTCTGAGGAAGTGGAGGCAGGCCTCTGGAGTGAGCAGGCCTCTGCGCAGGACTTTTAATGACTCTGTGGTAGCCTCTGTCATCCACTACACGTGTGCTGGGCACCGGGCAGCACACAGCGGGACAGGAATAGACTGAATTTGCTGGTCAGGAGGGCCAGCTCTGCTCCGGGCTGCCCCCTGGACTCTGGAGGAGGTGAGGGACAGGAGGGTGTTATCCAAACTCACCTCCATCATGGACAACACCATGACACAGACTGCAAAGGACTGTAGAGGAGCTGAGAAGCTCTTTCAGTGGAAGACTGAGGCTGAGACTGAGGCTACTGCAGGGCCTTCATCCCCATCACTGTCAGACTGTACATTAAGGCACATAATGACCCGCACTAGGACTGTAAACATTGCACTGCTTTTACTCAATTTTATTTGAACATGAAATACCTTTATTATATTGCACAAAATATATTATTTCATAGAACTTTTCACTTTAACATGTTGCAATTTGTTGTTTTTTGTTTTTCACATTTCCGTGTCTTTTTGCACACCTCGAGTAATCCTATCCATACCAAATGCAACATGTACATTTCTCCATTGTGAGCTCAATAAAGTTTTATCTAATCTTATTTTAGTGCAACAAACTCGGCTTGCACTCATACCACTCGAGATCTATTCATTTGTCCTTCTGTGCCCAAGCATGAGAGCAATGTGAGTGAACGCCACTGTTCACAGTATGCTAATTGGTCAGAACGCTCACATGTTACTTTGGTCCTGCAGAAGTAGAACCACTGCACACCACTGCACACCATACTGCACACCATACTGCACAAGACCGGGAGAACCAGAGCTGGCCAGGGCCAGAACGAGTCACTTCTGCGAACAGACATCTTTGAGACCCGGTGTAGCAGGCCAGTTTAACTCCCCGCCAGAATATACCCGGGTATAAAGTAGCCTAGGCCAGATTATACCCCGGGTATTAAATGGCCTAGGCTAGTTTAACCGCTCATAGGCCAGATTAACCCCCCTTCATTCTATATAGTAAAAATAAAATACAAGTGATGTTTTATCAATTTCTTTATTTCCTACAAAATACATCTAGAGAAAGGACATGATTTATGAAATAAACTATTCTATACTATAAAACAAAGTACTGCAAGAAATTGATTATGCAATACAATATCTAAATGCTGATATACCATATTGTATTGACAAAACTATAACAACGCCCTAATATTCCCGAGCTGTACAGTACAGTAACACACTACACCATACAGTCTCATCATCAAGTCTCATCACTCAACATTAATCACAGCACTTAAGTGCTTGGACTTGTTCTCGAGGTATATGGCAGATTTGGATGTCTCCTGTTGCTCTTATACTGAGTACATAAAGAAGAACAGAGGAACTGTTCCGCAGACATCAGTACTTTAATACATTTCTGAGAAAAATATCTACCAGTGTTGGGCAGATGAAGCCCAAGAATACAGTGAGGCTTCTTTGTCAGATTGGTTCAAATGTGTCGGAGCCTCTTAGCTAGCTCAGACGGCTCAGACTAGCTTGTGACACTGACATATTGTGGAGAAATGTAATCATTGCAGCATATGAAAAGCTGGACTAAAGCCTTGTTCCACCGTCAATTTACAGAAACAAGAGGACTGCACTCTATGCATAAATCAACAGTTTATGCATCATTTATCTGTAGCTTTAGTGCTTATCCACTGAAAGCAGTCACACCAAGGAAGCGAGACGTAACGCTCTGAAACAATGAGAAGTCAGGAAACACATTGAGCCAAGGAAACGCTTCAACACCGACACAGTTGATATGCGTAGTGAAGCAGCGGCTGCAGAGTCCGAGACACTGACAAGTTTGTCACGTGACCGGTTGTTTTGATACCAAAGGCTTCGGAAAGAGCGACACAATTGGTTAGGGCTGAAACAACTAATCGATTAATTGACGACTAATCGATTATTGAAATAGTCGACAACTATTTTAGTAATCGATTAATCGTTTTCTGGTTCACACGGACTCAAACAGAGCAAAAATGACATGAAAATGTAGTATTTTTGATTAAAACCGACTTTGTTTTTATAATTTCATGAATATCTGTCTGTCTCGTCCAATCAGATAGCAGAATTAGCACAAAGAGCCTGTTACAAACATTTACTTTAAGTTTACGCCATCAATACGTCCTCGAGTGTTGCCACTTTAGCTTTTTGTGATGAAAAAATATTTTTTTTCTACACAATTCACAGCCAATCGATTACCCGATTAATCGTAAAAATAATTGATAGATTAATCGATTACAAAATAATTGTTAGTTGCAGCTCTACAATTGGTGTCATTTGCACATAACTAATATCTACTCAAAAGTTCTAAGAGTTTCATGTGAGAAGTAAGTAGATACATTGACTCATAACCTCAAAAACAAAGTGTGAAAAGCAATCACACCAATTAGGGCTACAGAGTAATTAACAAATAAACTACTTCTAAATTATTTAAATTAATTTTGAAGTTATTAAAACTTTTAAAAGTAATACATGTATATTTTATTATTATTAGATAAAACAAGAGGGGTGTTTATCTGGCCTAAAGGGGGTCAAAATGGCCTAGGCCAGAATATACTCCGGGGTATATTTTGGCCTACGCTATTTTATACCCGGGGAATAAACTGGCCAGAGGGTATAAAATGGCCTGTTACACCGGGGCTTGGACAGGAGCTTTTAGACGTTTGTGCTAAAAACCATGTTGTGACATGGTTAAAAATGATATGTCTCCTTTAAAGTATAAATAGAAAATCCCATTGCTGCAATGTTTGTTAATAAACTCTTTGTGCTGCATTCTTAGAACACATTAAATATTAGAACTCTGCAGAAGTTAACCCCTTGTTTGTTCGTGTAGTCACCTGAATTAGGCACTTGCTGACATCGCTGGCGCACAGAGCTTTGTTACAGCCGTGGGTCAGACTGAGTCCAGAGGCGAACAGCAGCAGGAGGAGGGCAGCGGAGACTGAGAGGAGGCCCTGAGGCATCCTGGATCAGCGAAGAACAACCACACTACTGCAGCCACACAGGGATAACAGAATATACATGTTACTTACTTTTATCATTCTTTGCTACTATTAATGTTGTTGTGTGTCAAGTATTGTCTGCATTTAAAAATCCCTCTGTGTCTGTCGATATACAGTTATATATTGTGGGGCAAAAAAGTATATAGTCAGCCATCAATTGTGCAAATCCCTCCACTTAAGAAGATGAAATATTCCTGTATTTTTTAATCATAGGTATACCCCAACTATGAGAAAAAATAAAAACATTGAGAATTAATTTGCAAATAAATTCCTAATTATGATGGAAAACTAGAAACCGTTGCAATGGCTGAAGCCATTGCGATTGACTGCGGAACAGATCTAATGTGGAATTTAGCTGAAAAATCCTTGAAATCCTTGAAACTGTTAAAATACTTTAAACATCTTTGAAACTCCTGAAGTATTTGAAGCTCCTGATATCCTTTAAACTGTTATCCTTTATACTGGTTTACATGTAAAAACCCCTATTAAGTTGCATTATACTGGTTTACATGGAAAAATCCCCATTAAGTTGCATTATACTGGTTTACATGTAAAAAACCCTATTAAGTTGCATTATACTGGTTTACATGGAAAAATCCCTATTAAGTTGCATTATACTGGTTTACATGTAAAAATCCCTATTAAGTTGCATTATACTGGTTTACATGTAAAAACCCCTATTAAGTTCCATTATACTGGTTTACATGTAAAAACCCCTATTAAGTTCCATTATACTGGTTTACATGTAAAAAACCCTATTAAGTTCCATTATACTGGTTTACATGTAAAAAACCCCTATTAAGTTGCATTATACTGGTTTACATGTAAAAACCCCTATTAAGTTGCATTATACTGGTTTACATGGAAAAATCCCCATTAAGTTGTATTATACTGGTTTACATGAAAAAAAACCTATTAAGTGGCATTATACTGGTTTACATGAAAAAAACCCTATTAAGTTGCATTATACTGGTTTACATGGAAAAATCCCTATTAAGTTGCATTATACTGGTTTACATGGAAAAATCCCTATTAAGTTGCATTATACTGGTTTACATGGAAAAAACCCTATTAAGTTGCATTATACTGGTTTACATGTAAAAACCCCTATTAAGTTGCATTATACTGGTTTACATGTAAAAATCCCCATTAAGTTGCATTATACTGGTTTACATGTAAAAACCCCTATTAAGTTGCATTATACTGGTTTACATGGAAAAATCCCTATTAGGTTGCATGATTACACTGATTTAATAGGCCCATGCATTTTAATAGGACTTCAGCTCTTTCAGACATTTCTACAGTTTCAATGATTCAACATTATACTGGTTTACATGGAAAAAACCCTATTAAGTTGCATTGTACTGGTTTACATGTAAAAACCCCTATTAAGTTGCATTATACTGGTTTACATGGAAAAATCCCCATTAAGTTGCATTATACTGGTTTACATGTAAAAACCCCTATTAAGTTGCATTATACTGGTTTACATGGAAAAATCCCTATTAGGTTGCATGATTACACTGAAGTCCTTGAAACTGCTGAAGTCCTTGAAACTGCTGAAGTCCTTGAAACTGTTGAAGTCCTTGAAACTGTTGAAGTCCTTGAAACTGTTGAAGTCCTTGAAACTGTTGAAGTCCTTGAAACTCTTGAAACCTTGAAACTGCTGAAGTCCTTGAAACTGTTGAATCATTGAAACTGTTGAATCATTGAAACTGTAGAAATGTCTGAAAGAGCTGAAGTCCTATTAAAATGCATGGGCCTATTAAAATGCATTGCAGAATTCTCAATGCAAATTAATGGCAGAATTCCCAAGCCCGTAGAAAAAAACTGGAAAACTGCAGAACTCTAATTTTTTCTGAAAACTCACAAGTTGTGGACATGCACAAACTGCAGAAAATGCTGAAAATGTTGAAGAAAATTTTGAAAACTATGAATTTGTGGAAGCCCCATTATAAGTCAATGGGAAAAATCGACCGATTTTTGTCCGATTGCGGAAAAACTGGAAATCGCTGAAGTCCCAAAAGTAATAGCAATAATCTCCCAAACATGTGGAACGTTTTGATGTATAACTTGTGGAAATTGTTGAAAATGTGAAAGCTGTGAAACGTGTCAAAAATCAGGAAAAAGACGGAATAAAGAACACCAAAACCAATGGTTGACTGCGGAAGGTTCCGCAGTCAATCAATAAGGAACTTAAATCAATAACCAAAGTCTGTTTCATAACTATAAACCCTTTGTTGGCAATGACAGACGTCAAACATTTTCTCTAAGTCATCACAAGGTTTTCACGCGCTATTACTGGCATTTTGGCCCATTCCTCCATACAGATCTCTTCTAGAGCAGTGATGTTTTGGGGCTGTTGCTGGGCAACACAGGCGTACAACTCCCTCCAATGATTTTCTATTGAATTGAGATTACTGGCCTGGGCAGTGTTTGGAATCATTGTTGTGCTGAAAGTCCCAGCCACAGTTAATCTTCAATGTCCTTGCTGATGGGATGAGGTTTTCACTCAATATCGACCACATTTACATTTGAAATATCAACTCCCTTAAAAATGAGCCGGTATAGAGTGTGCCCTTTGCTGTGGGTAGGGCCACTCACTGTGAACCAAAGGTTTAAAGTACAGAACACAGCTCTTTTCCATTTTTGTCATTTAAATACCCCCCTAATAGCTAAACCATCAAAGTCTATGCACACAACTGAAAGCAACTCAGTAAAATGATCAATAAAACTGTAACATGACTGTGGTGGCCCGTATAGGACACAAACTCAAATAATTAAAACTTTCCGAGAGGCATTCGATAGAAGACCACAAGATCTTTACAGATAAGTGGTAGTGGGGGGAAATCGATTATGTTGAGTATTGTGATTATGAACGCAATTAAATAGATACAGTTGAGCAAAGTATTGCAATCAATAATTAAAAAATTATCCATTTCACTGCGTTTTCTCAGAATTACTTTTGGTCACACTGATCTATTTAAGTTAAGTGCTAGGGGCTCACTATTCATGCATCGCCTCGATGCCCTGTGAGATAGTCTATTCAGAGAACAATTACGTCTTATCTGGTAAGGTCCTGTGTCTTGAAAGGATACCATTTTTGGGCTTCCCTCCAAAGTGTTTGCACTTCAGTTAATGTGTTGTATCACACTATGTTAAGAGTCGCAATAATATGTAATTGTGGCCCAAATATTGCAATACTATCAAAAGATCAAATTTTTTCCAATTTCCACACCTAATATTTAGTTTAATCTCCCGACCAGCTATGATTTGACCAAAATTAGTCAACAGATGTATACCTACATACATACAGTATATATTTCTCTGCCCAAGAATTGATGCTTTATCTTTATTAGGCGAAATATTTTGTGTACATATAGAGTTGTGCTATACTTCATATTCACTTGTGTTATGTGCTCCTCCTTATTCTGTAATTTATGATGCAACACCAAAACTTCTCCTCCGGGAGACGAATGAAGGATATCTTAACTTTAAAACATACATTTGCAATATTTTCTATGAATGATGTAAAAACGTTAAAATGGGCAATAAAACCCATGCTCATAAATATAATACTATTAATAAAAATAAACTTAAATTCAAGTAGTCTATTTTTTAAAATAATAGGAATACTTAGAAAATGAAAAAAACAACCCCACATATAAATTGAGTTCAAGATGATGGTAGTGTATCTGCTTGGACTGACAGTCAGTTTCATGTCTATACATTCAAATCTGGCCAACATTCCATTAAACTTTCTCACTTTATACACTTAACAAAACAGCTTGCAATCGAAATTCCAAATCGCTTCAAGTAACACGAAATTACGTATGTATAAATGAGACTTCGTACTTGCCTGGCACAAGCCTTAACACCATTTGAGCAAAAGGCGTTTCATTCAATGCCATCTGATTTGTCCCAACATATAAACACTGCACACCTGGACAAATCCGAAATACAAATGCCACACTTTTAACTAGTGCTATGCGTGATTTACACATAACGCTTAAATCGGACGCGTTTCACATTGTTCAGCTTTCCCCCCCCCCCCCCCCCCCCCCCCGTTCCAACCACAAAAACGTGAAGAGAACACTTACTCCTCGCTACAACACAAATTCTCGCTGTGTAAAGTTGGGCAGAAAAGCGATGGCTTTGTGAGCGTAAAAGTAGTGTGAAAAAACGTACCGGTGCGCTCTGGGGAAAGTGGAATTCCTTTCTTTTGGCTGTCGATGAGCCTTGTTTTGTTCTGTGGCTTCTCCAGGATGATTCGGTGGAGGTTTGAGAGAGTGTGAAGCCAGAGGGCGTTTGTGTCCCACAGACTATGGTCCCGTACCAAGCAGCAGGAACACGGGCGCCTTAAAGAGATAGAGCCATTAAAGCGCTGCACAACCAAGTCCAGACTAAAGCTAATTGTAATCAGAAAATACATTTGTATGACGTAATTTCCACGTTTACAACACGTCTATTGCCTTTCCTGTGTCTTAAATAAAATAGTTGACTTTAGCATAGGTACCATCTTCTCAGAAGATGGTAATATTAGCACAACATTAGCTTACCGGTTCAATTCTTTATAGGTTTATCTACGCCACTTTGAATTGTTATTATCTGTAATTTGAGCAAAACGGCACATACACTTTGTCAAAAAAAATCATACCAAAAGTTGAGCTGCTGAGTTGCCACGGCTTTGAACCTGGATGTGAGAGATGATCTGGGGTTAGCAGGTTTAAAAATCAGAATTAGAATATTTTTTTTATTTTGATTACAAAATTAAAAAATTTGAACAAATTAAAAATAATCAGTTCAAATACATAAATGTTGGATAACTGTTTTGTTTAATAAGTAATAAATAAACCTTGAAAACTAGCGATGAGCTAAACTCTTATGTGAGCATTGTGAGCGATATGGGGAGGACATGGAAACTCCACACAAAAAGGTCCTGGAGGTGGAACTCCACTGCGCCACCGTGAGAGATCCACTATCACAGACCGACAAACTATAGCTAGATGCAGACCTCAAGGCATAGATCCAGGATCCAGGACTGAAATAAAGGGGGATGCAGCCCATGAGGTCCCATCATCATAAATATGTAAACCCCTTCAGAATCAGAATCAGAATCCTTTTTATTGGCATGTGAGTAACACGAAGCGACAAAAACTAGAAAATTGTTTTGGCTCTTGGTGCAAACAAGTTAAGGCAGAGTAAAAACAAGAAGGCATACTTAAATAAAATTCTACAAATACTTCTTCAGATTACTATATACAAGTGCACTAGGTGCACTCAATAGACTGTTAAGAGTGCGGTAGAGTGCAGTAAAGTGACAGTAGCATAAAGTGACGGTCATAAGGGCAGAGGTCAGTGATGGCTTATGAAGTTTTCATGAGTCCAACAGAAGAGGGGAAGAAACTGTTCTTATAGCGGGAGGTTCTGGTCCTGATGGACCGTAGTCTCCTGCCCGAAGGGAGTGGTTGGAATAGTCCATGTGCGGGGTGAGAGGGGTCGGCAGAGATACAACCAGCCCGACCTCGAGCTCGGGCGACGTACAGGTCCTGCAGCGATGGGAGGCTGCAGCCGATCACCTTCTCTGCAGAGCGCACGATGCGCTGTAGTCTCCGTTTGTCCCTGACTGTGGCTCCAGCGAACCACACGGTGATGGAGGAGGTGAGGATGGACTCGATGATGGCCGTGTAGAACTGCACCAACATCTGTGCAGGCAGCTTGGCTTTTATGAGCTGCCGCAGGAAGTACATCCTCTGCTGGGCCTTCTTGATGAGGGAGCTGATGGTCGGCTCCCAATTGATCTACTGGGTGATGGTGGTGCCCAGGAAACAAAATGACTCCACAGAGGTGATGGGGGAGTCCATCAGGGAGGGTGTGGGCGGGGGGACTGTGCTCTTCCTGAAGTCCACAATCATCTCCACTGTCTTCTGGGCGTTCAGCTCCAGGTTGTTACCACTGCACCAGGCCACCAGCCAGTCCACCTCCCTCCTGTAGTCGGACTCATTGTTGTTGGAGATGAGTCCAATGAGGGTGGTGTCGTCCGCGAACTTGATGAGCTTCACGGAGTCTTGGCTGGAGGCGACAGTAGCTCAATTGGCCTTTAGGCCTGAAGGTCGTGGGTTCAATTCCCACCTTGACACCTTCTCCACCGACTCCCACTGATGTCTGCTGTCGTTGTGTCCTTGGGCAAGACACTTAACCCCACTTTGCCCAAAGCCCCTGCTGAGAGATCATGGCTATGCTCACATTGACAGAGCAGCCATCCTCCTGTGGACTCACCACCTGCAGAGGATCAGTGAGGGGCAGGTGCTCTGTGACTTGGGTGGCATCTCTGACTGCCACCCCCCCAACCCAGAAATGGATTAAGGGGTAGAAAATGGATGGATGGATTGATGGAGTCCGAGACATTCTTCCCCAGAAGCACTCGCTGCTTCTGGTCAGGAAGTCAGTGATCCACCTGCAGGTGGAAGCGGGACATTGAGCTGGGAGAGTTTGTCCTGGAGCAATCGCTTATAAATATTCAAAAATATTCTGTACTTGGGGGCCCTGAATCAGTCTGCTGTATGTTTTATTTCATTTTGATTTGGGACTATAAAGATTATAGCTCTGATAATAAAATGGGAGACGCAGAGATGAAAGGGACTTCCTTTTGCCCCTCATGTCAATTGGGACTATCCACCTTTGTGTGTCGTTGTGTGAGTGTATAGTTGTTTTGTGTGTATTGTGTGCGTCCCGAGGGGAGAAAGCGGCTCCTTTGAAGTGTCGGGACAGCACACGCTCACGCCTCGCTCTATCAGCACCCCTGCAGCGCCCCCTCTTTGTCCCTTTGTACTGCCGAGATGGTCTGCGTTTAATATTTACAGTCTATGGTTTTCAGTGGCAAACTCGACAGCTGCTTGTCCGTCGATTAATAATAGAAATAATAATTGAAAGCTAATGAATGTACCGCACTATATTGAAGCTGATTAATATTAGTGTTCAAAAAATATACTGTAAATATTAACTACGAGGCTCCAATTCTCACATTAAGTCTCTGTATGTTTAAATGGTTAGTTAGACGTTGTGTAATAGTGTAAATTGCCCGCATTTATTCTTTTGGTGTGCCTGTTTTGTATGTGTCTATACAATAACAGTTTAGTTTAGTTTATTAAGATCCCCAGTAGCTACTGAGATGCAATGGCTATTGTTCCTGAGGTCTCCTCAAAATAACATCCATGAAAGCTCAATGAGAAATCAATTATAAGCTATGTAAAAAATAATTTAAAAGTTCCTAACAACAACACATAGATACATATCTACAAATTTGCATAGGAAATAATTCAATTGTGTACATTGCAGAACATGAAAAAAACTATTATAATGAAAATAAATAAATAAAACTGCCAGACACACTCAAATACACGTACACATACATACATTTATTCTTACACATTTTACATATATTATATGATGATTCAATTTACATTATTGTGTTTTGTTGTGGTGCTTCTGTCTCTCAGAAATAGCTGATGTGACATCGCCGGAAACAAAGCAAAACAGGCCGAGACCGATTTTCTTATGTTGTTCTTCACTTGGTTATTAAATGTCTTCAGCAGCAACTGCCTTCTTTTCTGAGACTCACTCTGTGTCTGTTCAGATCTTGTATGTTTTACTGTATTTCCCACTGTTATTGGTTTTTAATCAATACAGGTCATTGATGTCTAATCTGTGAGATCTAGTGACCAAAACTTGTACTGTGTAGACAGTAGAATATATAACAAAACTAAGAAATAAGTTATCTTTATTTATATAGCGCAAGTGAATCAAACGTCATGACAATAAGAGAAGTAAGTAACAATCTTCACACAGATGCAGACAGCTTACACACAATCTGGACCAGCACACCGTCCTGTCTATTTGACTGTGTTTTATCATGTATACATCAACAATGGGGGCGACAGTAGCTCAGCTGGCAGAGCATTGGCCTTTGGGCCTGAAGGTTGTAGGTTCAAACTCACCACAGGACCTACTCCAACTGCTCCCACTAATGTCTGCTGTTGTTGTGTCCTTGGGCAAGACACTTAACCCCACATTTGAATAATGTACAATATTGTAGTAAGTAATTGTGAATTAATTATTTGCTGAAAAATTCTATGTAGTGGACAAGAGGGTTCTAGCCAAAGTCAACTCCATCAACACCTTCCACCCACTGCACAAGACAGTAGAGGAACTGAGGCCCTCACAGTGCAAGAAGGAGCGCTACCGCAGGGCCAATGCACAAGGACTAGGAAAAAAAAACTGCAATGTTACTGCAACTTTTTTATTGTATGTAATTATTAATCTTTAATTATTAAAGTATGTCATTATGTAATCTTGCAAAGACTATAATTTTTGCCTTAACATGTTGCCCACTTCTGTGTTTTGCACAATACGAGTCTATCCATGCCAAATGTGACATGCAAATTTCTCCAGTGTGAGATCAATAAAGTCTGTCTTAAATTATAATAGTGACATCTGAAAATTAAATGTTTAATGTTGAACTCGAAATAAATAAACACCCAACGTCCAGGTCCGGCTATACACTTGCATTAGTTTCAACATCAACTAGAAATGGTACAATGGCTGAAACCATTGTGAGTGGCTGCATAGATGTTGGAAGGGTTAGGGATGAAGAAGGAAGAGGAAGGGGAAGAAGAATGAAGAAAAAGAAAGAAGAGGAAAGAAGAAGGGGAAGAAGGAAGAATAAAGAAAAGTGAAGAAGAGGAAAGAAGAAGAAGGAAGAGGAGGAGGAAGAAGAAGGGGAAGAAGAGGAATAAGGGGAAGAAGGGGAAGAAGAGGAAGAACAGGAAAAAGGGGAAGAAGTGGAAGAAGAGGAAGAAGGGGAAGAAGGGGAAGAAGAGGAAGAAGGGAAGAAGAGGAAGAAGAGGAAGAAGGGGAAGAAGGAGAAGAAGAGGAAGAAGGGGAAGAAGGGAAGAAGAGGAAGAAGAGGAAGAAGGGGAAGAAGGAGAAGAAGAGGAAGAAGGGGAGGAACAGGAAGAAGAGGAAGAAGGGGAAGAAGAGGAATAAGGGGAAGAACAGGAAGAAGAGGAAGAAGGGGAAGAAGAGGAAGAAGAGGAGGAAGGGGAAGAAGGGGAAGAAGGGGAAGAAGATGAAGTAAGAAGAATGTGTTGTAAAGTGCTGAATGTGTTGTAAAGTGTTGAATGTGTTGCAAAGTGCTAAATGTGTTGTAAGGTGTTGAATGTGTTGTAAAGTGCTAAATGTGTTTTAAGATGTTGAATTTGTTGTAAGGTGTTGAATTTGTTGTAAAGTGCTGTAAGTGTTTTAAAGTGCTGTAAGTGTTGTAAGGTGCTATAAGTGTTGTAAGATGTTGTAATGTATTTTATCTGTGGTAATGAATTGTTAGTGTGGTAATGTGTTGTATGGGGAGTAATCTGTTGTACTGGTCCAATGTAAGTCAATGGGAAAAAGTGCTTGAACTTTTGTTAATATCTGAAAAAGTGCAAAAGGTGGAAGTGTGAAAAGTAATAGCAATAATGAGACGGTGAAGCCGGTTGTAACGATGTATAATTTGTTGAATTTGGTGAAAGCGTTGAAGAGTTGAAAAGTGCCAAAATCTGGCGGAAGTGGAAGAAGAAGAACTAGAAATGGTACAATGGCTGAAGCCATTGTGAGTGGCTGCATAGATGTTGGAAGGGTTAGGGATGAAGAAGGAAGAAGAAGAAAGAAAAGGGAAGAAGAGGAAAGACGAAGAAGGAAGAGGAGGAGGAAGAAGAAGAAGGGGGAAGAAGGAGGGGAAGAAGAGGAAGAAGGGGAAGAAGAGGAAGAAGAGGAAGAAGAGAAGAAGGGGAAGAAGAAGGAAGAAGAAGGAAGAAGAGGAAGAAGAGGAAGAAGGGGAAGAAGAGGAAGAAGAGGAAGAAGGGGAAGAAGAGGAAGAAGGGGAAGAAGAAGGGGAAGAAGGGGAAGAACAGGAAGAAGAGGAAGAAGGGGAAGAAGAGGAAGAAGAGGAAGAAGGGGAAGAAGAGGAAGAAGGGGAAGAACAGGAAGATGAGGAAGAAGAGGAAGAAGGGGAAGAAGGGAAAGAAGAGGAAGAAGGGGAAGAAGAGGAAGAAGTAAGAAGAATGTGTTGTAAGGGACTGAAAGTGTTGTAAAGTGCTAAATACGTTGTAAAGTGCTAAATGTGTTGTAAGGTGTTGAATTTGTTGTAAAGTGCTAAATGTGTTGTAAGGTGTTGAATTTGTTGTAAAGTGCTAAATGTGTTGTAAAGTGCTAAATGTGTTGTAAGGTGTTGAATTTGTTGTAAGGTGTTGAATGTGTTGTAAAGTGCTAAATGTGTTGGTGTTGAATTTGTTGTAAAGTGCTAAATGTGTTGTAAGGTGTTGAATGTGTTGTAAAGTGCTAAATGTGTTGTACAGTGTTGAATTTGTTGTAAGGTGCTGAATGTGTTGTAAGGTGTTGAATTTGTTGTAAAGTGCTAAATGTGTTGTAAGGTGTTGAATTTGTTGTAAAGTGCTAAATGTGTTCTAAGGTGTTGAATGTGTTGTAAAGTGCTAAATGTGTTGTAAGGTGTTGAATGTGTTGTAAAGTGCTAAATGTGTTGTAAGGTGTTGAATTTGTTGTAAGGTGCTGAATGTGTTGTAAGGTGTTGAATTTGTTGTAAAGTGCTAAATGTGTGTTGAATTTGTTGTAAAGTGCTAAATGTGTTGTAAGGTGTTGAATTAGTTTTAAAGTGCTAAATGTGTTGTAAGGTGCCGTAAGTGTTGTAAGATGTTGTAATGTATTGTATCTGTGGTAATGAATTGTTAGTGTGGTAATGTGTTGTATGGGGAGTAATCTGTTGTACTGGTCCAATGTAAGTCTATGGGAAAAAGTGCTTGAACTTTTGTTAATATCTGAAAAAGTGCTAAAGGTGGAAGTGTGAAAAGTAATAGCAATAATGAGACGGTGAAGCCGGTCGTAACGATGTATAATTTGTTGAATTTGGTGTAAGCGTTGAAGAGTTGAAAAGTGCCAAAATCTGGCGGAAGTGGAAGAAGAAGAAGAACTAGAAATGGTACAATGGCTGAAGCCATTGTGAGTGGCTGCATAGATGTTGGAAGGGTTAGGGATGAAGAAGGAAGAGAAAAGGGAAGAAGAGGAAAGAAGAAGAAGGAAGAGGAGGAGGAAGAAGAAGAAGGGGAAGAAGGGGAAGAAGAAGAAGGGGAAGAAGAGGAAGAAGGGGAAGAAGAGGAAGAAGAGGAAGAAGGGGAAGAAGGGGAAGAAGAGGAAGAAGAAGAAGAAGAAGAAGAAGGGGAAGAAGAGGAAGAAGGGGAAGAAGAGGAAGAAGTGAAGAAGATGAAGTAAGAAGAATGTGTTGTAAGGGGCTGAAAGTGTTGTAAAGTGCTGAATGTGTTGTAAAGTGATAAATGTGTTGTAAAGTGCTGAATGTGTTGTAATGTGTTGTAAAGTGCTGAATGTGTTGTAAAGTGATAAATGTGTTGTAAAGTGCTGAATGTGTATTAAAGTGCTAAATGTGTTGTAAAGTGCTAAATGTGTTTTAAGGTGTTGAATGTGTTGTAAAGTGCTAAATGTGTTGAATTTGTTGTAAAGTGCTAAATGTGTTGTAAGGTGTTGAATTTGTTGTAAGGTGCTGAATGTGTTGTAAGGTGTTGAATTTGTTGTAAAGTGCTGAATGTGTTGTAAGGTGTTGAATTTGTTGTAAAGTGCTGAATGTGTTGTAAGGTGTTGAATTTGTTGTAAAGTGCTAAATGTGTTGTAAGGTGTTGAATTTGTTGTAAAGTGCTAAATGTGTTGTAAGGTGTTGAATTTGTTGTAAAGTGCTAAATGTGTTGTAAGGTGTTGAATTTGTTGTAAAGTGCTAAATGTGTTGTAAGGTGTTGAATTTGTTGTAAAGTGCTAAATGTGTTGTAAGGTGTTGAATTTGTTGTAAAGTGCTAAATGTGTTGTAAGGTGTTGAATTTGTTGTAAAGTGCTAAATGTGTTGTAAGGTGTTGAATTTGTTGTAAGGTGCTGAATGTGTTGTAAGGTGTTGAATTTGTTGTAAAGTGCTGAATGTGTTGTAAGGTGTTGAATTTGTTGTAAAGTGCTAAATGTGTTTTAAAGTGCTAAATGTGTTGTAAGGTGTTGAATTTGTTGTAAGGTGCTGAATGTGTTGTAAGGTGTTGAATTTGTTGTAAAGTGCTAAATGTGTTGTAAGGTGTTGAATGTGTTGTAAAGTGCTAAATGTGTTGTAAAGTGCTAAATGTGTTGTAAGGTGTTGAATGTGTTGTAAAGTGCTAAATGTGTTGTAAGGTGTTGAATTTGTTGTAAAGTGCTGAATGTGTTGTAAGGTGTTGAATTTGTTGTAAAGTGCTAAATGTGTTGTAAGGTGTTGAATTTGTTGTAAAGTGCTAAAGTGCTGAATGTGTTGTAAGGTGTTGAATGTGTTGTAAAGTGCTAAATGTGTTGTAAGGTGTTCAATTTGTTGTAAAGTGCTAAATGTGGTGTAAGGTGTTGAATTTGTTGTAAAGTGATAAATGTGTTGTAAAGTGCTAAATGTGTTGTAAGGTGTTGAATGTGTTGTAAAGTGCTAAATGTGTTGTAAGGTGTTGAATTTGTTGTAAAGTGCTAAATGTGTTGTAAGGTGCTGTAAGTGTTGTAAGGTGTTGAATGTGTTGTAAAGTGCTAAATGTGTTGTAAGGTGCTGTAAGTGTTTTAAGATGCTGTAATGTATTGTATCTGTGGTAATGAATTGTTAGTGTGGTAATGTGTTGTATGGGGAGTAATCTGTTGTACTGGTCCAATGTAAGTCTATGGGAAAAAGTGCTTGAACTTTTGTTAATATCTGAAAAAGTGCTAAAGGTGGAAGTGTGAAAAGTAATAGCAATAATGAGACGGTGAAGCCGTTCGTAACGATGTATAATTTGTTGAATTTGGTGAAAGCGTTGAAGAGTTGAAAAGTGCCAAAATCTGGCGGAAGTGGAAGAAGAACTAGAAATGGTACAATGGCTGAAGCCATTGTGAGTGGCTGCATAGATGTTGGAAGGGTTAGGGATGAAGAAGGAAGAGGAAGGGGAAGAAGGAAGAAGAAAGAAAGAAAGGGTAGAAGAGGGAAGAGGAAGGAGGAGAAGAAGAAGGGGAAGAAGAGGAGAAGATGAGGAAAATGAGGAAGAAGGGGAAGAAGAGGAAGAAGGGGAAGAAGAGGAAGAAAGGAGGAAGGGGAAGAAGGGGAAGAAGAGGAAGAAGAGGAGGAAGGGGAAGAAGGGGAAGAAGCGGAAGAAGAGGAGGAAGGGGAAGAAGGGGAAGAAGAGGAAGAAGAGGTGGAAGGGGAAGAAGGGGAGGAAGAAGAGGAAGAAGAGGAAGAAGGGGAAGAAGAGGAAGAAGGGGAGGAAGAAGAGGAAGAAGAGGAAGAAGGGGAAAGAAGAGGAAGAAGATGAGGAAGGGGAAGAAGAGGAGGGAGGGGAAGAAGTGAAGAAGATGAAGTAAGAAGAATGTGTTGTAAGGTGTTGAATTTGTTGTAAAGTGCTAAATGTGTTGTAAGGTGTTGAATTTGTTGTAAAGTGCTAAATGTGTTGTAAAGTGTTGAATGTGTTGTAAAGTGCTGAATGTGTTGTAAGGTGTTGAATTTGTTGTAAAGTGCTAAATGTGTTGTAAGGTGCTGTAAGTGTTGTAAGATGTTGTAATGTATTGTTTCTGTGGTATGAATTGTTAGTGTGGTAATGTGTTGTATGGGGAGTAATCTGTTGTACTGGTCCAATGTAAGTCAATGGGAAAAAGTGCTTGAACTTTTGTTAATATCTGAAAAAGTGCTAAAGGTGGAAGTGTGAAAAGTAATAGCAATAATGAGACGGTGAAGCCGGTCGTAACGATGTATAATTTGTTGAATTTGGTGAAAGCGTTGAAGAGTTGAAAAGTGCCAAAATCTGGCGGAAGTGGAAGAAGAAGAACTAGAAATGGTACAATGGCTGAAGCCATTGTGAGTGGCTGCATAGATGTTGGAAGGGTTAGGGATGAAGAAGGAAGAGGAAGGGGAGAAGAAGGAAGAAGAAAGAAAAGGGAAGAAGAGGAAAGAAGAAGAAGGAAGAGGAGGAGAAGAAGAAGAAGGGGAAGAAGGGGAAGAAGAAGAAGGGGAAGAAGGGGAAGAAGAGGAAGAAGGGGAAGATGAGGAATAAGAGGAAGAAGGGGAAGAAGAGGAAGAAGAGGAAGAAGGGGAAGAAGAGGAAGAAGGGGAAGAAGAGGAAGAAGTGAAGAAGATGAAGTAAGAAGAATGTGTTGTAAGGGGCTGAAAGTGTTGTAAAGTGCTGAATGTGTTGTAAGGTGTTGTAAAGTGCTAAATGTGTTGTAAAGTGCTGAATGTGTTGTAAAGTGCTGAATTTGTTGTAAAGTGCTGAATGTGTTGTAAAGTGCTAAATGTGTTGTAAAGTGCTGAATGTGTATTCAAGTGCTAAATGTGTTGTAAAGTGCTAAATGTGTTGTAAGGTGTTGAATTTGTTGTAAAGTGCTAAATGTGTTGTAAGGTATTGAATGTTTTGTAAAGTGCTGAATGTGTTGTAAAGTGCTGCAAGTGTTGTAAGGTGTAGAATGTGTTGTAAAGTGCTGAATGTGTTGTAAAGTGCTGAATGTGTTGTAAAGTGCTGAATTTGTTGTAAAGTGCTGACTGTGTTGTAAGGTGTTGAATGTGTTGTCAATCAAAATCATTCAATAAAGTGGCTGAATGTAGGGAGAGAGGCAGCGGAGGGAGAGAGGCAGAGGAGAGGGAGAGGACGAGGCAGCGGGAGGGAGAGAGGGCAGAGGGGGAAGAGAGAGGGCAGCGGAGGGAGAGGGGCAGAGGAGGGTTGGAGAGGGCAGCGGAAGGGAGAGAGGGCAGAGCGGAGGGAGAGAGGGGCGCGGAGGGAGAGAGGGCAGCGGAGGAGAGAGTGCAGCGGAGGGAGAGAGGGCAGCGGGAGGGAGAGAGGGCAGAGGAGGGAGAGAGGTCAGAGGAGGGAGAGAAAAGTCACTTGTATCAGGGGTCCAGGCTGATGGTGCGAAGAGAGGGAGAGATGGGCAAAGGAGGAGAAAGGACAGCGGTAGAACAGCGCGTTAAAGAGGCCCGGCTTTTCGGTGTCAAAGGTAAAAGAGGTCCGCACATTAAAAGCGGGTGGCCGGTCTTATGGCCTTTACGACAGTAACTTTGGAAAGAGAAGCCGCGGGATGAACCGCCATAAAGTAACAGCAGAAAGCGGCCGCCCGCTTTTAATGTGCGGACCTCTTTACCGCTGACGTCCGGAAAGCCTGCCCACTAACCGCGGTAGGAGAACGTTGAGGGCGAGCCGCAAGAAATCGCTCCAACTTCCACTGCTGAGGAGGGTTACAGGGGCAATTAAGATGGGGTCGCGGGCTAAGACTTTGGACTCCCTGCTCTACTACACTCTGGCGTGCCATTCTGTTCTTTGACCTGTGTTTACGCGGCGAGGGGGATGGCTCATAACGCTCTACGGTAACCCACAAGGACGAAACGCAAAAAACTCAGAAAAAGACAAAAATTTGGTGAACAAAAAAACTCGAGTTTGCAAAAATAAAATCCTTTTAAAGCAACAAAATCGATAAATCGATTAAATCGATTTTTTTGCCAGCCCTATGTAAGGTGTATGAATTTGTTGAAAGGTGCGAATGTGTTGTAAGGTGTTGAATTTGTTGTAAGTGCTACATGTGTTGTAAGGATGTTTGAATAGTTGTAAAGTGCTAAAAGTGTTTGTACGGTGTAGAATTTGGTTGTAAAGTCTAAAATGTGTTGTAAGGTGTGTAAGTGTTGTAAGATTGTTGTAATTATTGTATCGGTGGTGATGAATTGTTAGTCGGTGTAATGTGTTGGTATGGGGAGTAATCTGTTGTACAGGTCCAATTAAGTCTGATGGGAAAAAGTGCTTGAACTTTTGTTTAAATCTGAAAAAGTGCTAAAGGTGAAGTTAAAAGAATAGCAATAATGAACGGTGACGCCGGTCGTAACGATGTATAAATTGTTGAATTTGGTGAAAGCGTGAAGAGTTGAAAAGGGCCAAAATCTGGCGGAAGTGGAAGATGAAACTAGAAATGGTATCAATGGCTGAATCCAATGTGAGTGGCTGCATAGATGTTGGAAGGGTTAGGGATGAAGAAGGCCGAAAAGGAAGAAGAAAGAAAAGAAGAAGAGGAAAGCGAAGAAAGGAAGAGGAGGAGGAAGAAGAAAGAAGGGAAGAAGTGAGGAAGAAGAGGAAAGGGGAAAAGGGAAAAGGAGGAAGAAAGAGGAGAAGAGGAGGAAGGGGAAGAAGGGAAGAAGAGAGAAAAAAGGGGGAAGAAGAGGAAGAAGCAGCAAGAAGAGGAAAAAGGGGAAGAAAGGAAGAAGAGGAAGAAGGGGAAGAGGAGGAAGAAGGGAAGAAGAGGAAAAAGGGGAATGAAGAGTGAAAGAACAAGGAAGAAGAGGAAGAAGGGGAAGAAGAGGAAGAAGAGGAGAAGAGGGAAGAAGAGGAAAAGGGGAAGTACAGGAAGATGAGGAAGAAGGGGAAGAAGAGGAAGAAGAGGAAGAAGGGAAGAAGAGGAAGAAGGGGAAGAACAGGAAATGAGGAAGAAGAAGAAGAAGGGGAAGAAGGGAAAGAAAAGGAAAGAAGTAAGAAGATATGTGTTGTAAGGGACTGAAAGTGTTGTAAAGTGCCTAAATACGAATTGTTAAAAGTGCTAAATGTGTTGAAAGGTGTTTTGATTTGTTTGTTAAGTGCTAAATGTGTTTTAAGGTTTTGGAATTTGTTGTAAAGAAGTGCTAAATGTGTTGTATATGCTAAATGTGTGTAAGGTATTGAATTTGTTTTTAAAAAGGTGTTTGAATGTGTTTTTGTAAAATGCTAAATGTGATGAATTTGTTGTTAAAGTGCTAGAATGTGTTGTGAAGGTGCTGAAGTGTTGTAAGTGTTGATTGTTGTAAAGTGCTAAATGTGTTGTAAGTGTGCTGTTAAGTGTTGTAAAGATGCTGTAATGTATTGTATCTGTGGTAATGAATTGTTGTAGTGTAATGTGTTGTATGGGGGAGTAATCTGTTGTACTGGTCCAATGTAAGTCTATGGGAAAAAGTGCTTGAACTTTTGTTAATATCTAAAAAGTCTAAAGGTGGAAGTGTGAAAAGTAATAGGCAATAATGAGACGGTGAAGCCGTTCGTACGATGTATAATTGTTGAATTTGGTGAAAGCGTTGAAGAGTTGAAAAGAATGCCAAAATCTGCGGAAGTGGAAGAAGAAAAAACAGTAGGAGAGCCATATAGTGGCCTGCAAGATCTATGCAGGCCACTCAATAACAGTAAGGAGAGCATATAGTGGCTGCATCGTCTATGCCGCCACTCAACTAGAAATTGGTACAATAGGCTGAAGCCAATGTGGAAGTGGCTGCATAGATGTTGGAAGGGTTAGGTATGAAGAAGGAAGAGGAGGGAAGAAGAAGGAAGAAGAAGAAAAGGGAAGAAGAGGAAAGAAGAAGGAAGAGGAGGAGAAGAAGAAGAAAGGGAAGAAGGGAAATAAGAAGAGGAAAAATGGGAAGAAGAGGAAGAAGAGAAGTAGGGGTAAGAATAGGAAAAGAGGAAGAAGAGGAAGAAGAAGAAAGAAGAGAAAGAAGTGAAAGCAAGAGAAAGAAGAGAACGGAGAGGAGGAAAAGAGAGAAAGAAAGAGGGGAAGAAGAGGAAAAGAGGAAGAGAGAAGAAGGGGAAGAAGGGACAGAAGGGGAAGAAGGAGGAAGAAGAGGAAGAAGAGGAAGAAGGAAGAAGAGGAAGTAAGAAGGTGTTGTAAGGTGTTGAATTTGTTGTAAGGTGTTGGAATTTGTTTAAAGTTGCTAAATGTGATGTTAAATGCTGAATGTGTTGTAAGTGCTGAATGTGTTGTAAAGGTGCTAATGTGTTGTAAAAGTCTGAATTGTTGTAAAGTGCCTTAATGTGTTGTAAAGTGCTAAATGTTGTTGTAAAGTGCTAAATGTGTTGTAAGGGGTTGAATGTGTTGTAAAGTGCTAAATGTGTTGTAAGGTTAGGGCTGGGCGATTTTGACTAAAAAAAAAATCTCCTCCGAGTTTTTAAAAGAAAAATTCAAGTTTCATTCACGATTTTTCGATTTTTTTTCCCCCAATGCACTTAAAAATGACTGGAGACATCAGATATATTTGTCAAAAGTGCAAATTTATTGCTGTGATTGTCCTCAAGAGTTAAAAATAATGCAAGTAAATGAGGCTCTGTTATTCAACAATTTCAAGCTTTAAAACCCAGGTTTAAGCAAAAGTGCAACATCAAATTTCACATAGCTTAAATTTTCTGATTAAGAAATCAGAATAACTACAACTACAATTTTGTAACATAAAACATTACAATAAAAAATATAATAAACTCTTCTCTTAGCCTCTCAGCATAATGTAATAAAAAAAATAATTAAACAGCCCTGTGGCAGAACATATAGCTACTAACTAACAACTTATCAAACAGGGATAAACAAATGTAAAACTATATCTTTAACAACACAACATTAGATCTCGGAAATCATTGTGCATAGCTCATATCTAAGCATTTTTTGCAAGAAAGATGACCTGTCCACTACCACAGGTCCGTGGTTGCTGAGTAAAACGTCATCTCTACCCCAGCTCACCGCGATCTTTTCACGAGTTTGTATTGACAGTGAGTCAGCGCTAACATCGGCGAAATACTTGCGACTGGGGATCAACGTACTGTACCTCGCATCTATACTTTTAACATGCCCCACCTGTTAAAACGCTAAAAACCCCCGGGGGGTCGCGGGAACCCCTGTGGGGGGTCGCATGATGATTTCTATCTAACACAAACAAAAAAAAAAGATTTTTTTTTTTTTTTGAGCAATTATAAAGCCCGTAAATATTTTATTTAGCATTTGATTATGATTTTCATAAGGACTACTTTGTTAAATTGTGTTTGGAGACTATAATATATTTAAGACACGTTAGTATTTTTAGTCCCAAGTCATTGCAGCGTCAAACAAAATCATCACGTAAACACAGCTCACATCATGCGCAGACTGTCAAAAGCGTGTCCCTACTGTTGTTTTGCTAAAACTAAAGGTGTTTTGGAGTCTACAATAAATAATACCATGCTTTAAAATGAAACGTGGTTAATATCCACAACAGAAAACCCCGAGGGGGAGAAAAGTCACTTGTATCAGGGTCAAGGCTGAGTGGTGCGAAGAGAGGGATAGAGGGCAAGGAGAGGGAAGAGATGGCAGAGGAGGGAGAGAGGGCA